TTTGCCCAGAGTGTCCATCTGTGGAAGGGGGAAGTCAATTCTTCCTCACATGAGAAATTCTGATAAATAAATAACCTTTGTCCAGGAGAGCATGAAAGTTAATTACGAGGCTTAGGGCAGGCAGTCCTGACTCTCTTTTTATCTCCCTTGTCTTACTGCTTTGTCCAGAATCACTAGGATGATGTTGATTTACTAGAGTGGCAGTTGGTATTCTTGTCTTGCTTTGGACATTTTATCATTAAGTATGGTAATTACTATCAACTAGCAAATTCCTGTGTTCTAAAAATCATAAATGACTTAAATTTTTCAGTGTTTTTTTCTTGTATCTATGGAGGTGATCATATGTGTTCTCCCTTTGCAATCCTGCAAAGGTTGTAGGATTGCTTCTTTCCATTTCTTTTTTTAAAGATTTATATATTTAGGCCCTCCCTGGTGGCACAGTGGGTTAAAGCACAGCAATAAGAAACTGGGACCACTTCAGCATGAGTTCGATCCCCGCCTGCCCCGGAGGTGACCCATATGGCACAGCAGACCTCTCCTGACCCGCCTGCTGCTCCCCTCAGCAGTGTACTGCGTCATTCAACCTGTTCTGCTCCCCACTCTGACTCTGGTGAATCTTCTCACCCCCTGCACCTCTGGCCTATAACCCAGTTCTGTATGCATAGATAAATAAATCTTTAAAAAAGATTTATATATTTAGGGCCCTCCCTGGTGGCACAATGAGTTGAAGCACAGCACTATGAAGGATTTGCAGCCACTGTGGCACGAGTTTGATTGCCAGCCAGCCAGGGAAGTGACCCACATGGCACGGCAGAGATCTCCTGACCTGCCCACTGCTCCCCTCAGCAGTATATTTCAGTCAATCTGCCTGTTCTACTCTCCACTCTCACTAGTGAATCCTCTCATCCCCCTCCCCGCACACACCTCTGGCATATTTATGCATACAAAAGCTGGGGTACAGGCCAAAGGTGCAAGGATTCACCAGAGACAGAGTGGGGAGCAGGACAAATCGACTGAAATACACTGCTGAGGTGAGCAGCAGGGAGACAGAAGACTGCTGCACCATGTGGGTCAGCTCCCTGGCCGGGGATCAAACTCAGGCTGTAATGGTGATAGTGCTGAGACTAACGCCTGGGCCATCCAGTAGGCCCACTAAGCATGCTTTCAGGTTCCATCACATCCTCCAGAGACCTTCCCTAACAGCCCCTCCAGCTCCTATAATGTCTGTTACTGCAGCTGTCACATCACTTGTAATTATATCTGTAAGTTGACGTCTTGTGAGCACGCTGAGATAGAGGGCTACTCTTCTTCATGCCTGTCTCTGTCTCCCTGATGCCTAATGCATAGTAAGTATTCAATGACCTAAAAATAGCCATATTCATGTCTAAAGTACTAGTGATTACATGTTAATATCAAGGAACACTACACAGAATGGGGCCTTGAAGAAGTCTGTTCAGGGGGGACAGAAAGGGCACCCTGAGGGGGTGAACAGCATTAAGAGAGAAAATGTGTCATCTTCAGGAGCTGATAAACAAGCCCCGAGTGGCTGTGGGTGGTAGACAAGGAGGTCAGTGAGGTTGGAATGGCAGGACCAGCCTTTCCAGGTTGTAAATGGTCTTTCAGGCTGAACTAAGGTGGAGCTTCATCCTGAGGACAGGGGGGCCTCCCCTGCTAAGGAGGGACACTGCAGAAGAGTCTCTTGGGGTAGCAGTGCGTGTGGGTCTTAACTGCACTGGGATCACCTGGAGGGCTCTTTAAGACAGAATTCTGGGTCTGACACTGTTTCTTCTTAAGGGGACAGGTGGGACCTGAGAATATGTACTTGTAAACTCCTAGGTAATATTGGTCAGAGGACCACACTTTGAGAACCCCCAATACAGCAGATGGGCTGGAGAAATGGGTTTCAGCAAGGTGAAGGAAGCCTTTGAAGTAGCCCAGCTGAGGGGATGGAGGCAGAGCAGGCCAGGGGCTCACCCGGTGGAGGAGGTGCCTAACTTCAGTGTGTCGGTGGGGAGACTTCAGGCAGGGTAACAAGTTAATGTGGGAAAGGGAGGAGGGGACTTTGGAAGAAATCAGTCAGGCCAAAATGTCTGGCCAGGACAGTCCCACACCTGTCCTGCGTCATGACTCCAGAAAACACACAGAGCCAAGGTGCCCAGAGTTGCTGTTTAATGCCCAATAGTTACAAAATAAGGTTTCCATGGTGCTCATCAAGGCAGGACCCAGGGGAGACCAGGCCAGAGTGAGGTGCCCCTAGGGAGCACCAGCATGGGAACCAGTTTCCCTCAGGCACACACACCACACAGGAGCCCAAGAGCTGGCTAGACTCTGGTCACGGAGGGCCCCTTTTGGGGGACAGGGTCTCTGGGTGGTGGGGACCTTGGGACACAATGATAAGAACCAGAAAGCTGCTTGCAAGCAACCCCAAAGGGCTTTCACTTCAGATGCACTCAGCCACACAAGGCTCGGACACGGGAACAACCAAGCTCACTAAAAACTCTAAACGCTGTGCAGAACTGATGCTCAGAACACTGGAAGAGAGAATCAAGCCCCGGCCCAGCAAGCTGCACCACCCCCTTCCCTGCAGCTGCGCAGGTCAACACAGCGTCCTGGGCGGCGACCCACTCTGCTTCAGCTAAGGCTTTCAGCAGGAAGGGGCACGGATCCATGTTGCTGGTTTTAAGAAAGCTCTTTGAATCTCCAACTGAACAATTTAATGCTACTGGGACCCCTAGAGGTCCCAGCCTTTGATGCCCCTGGGGACACAAGTGACTTGGGAGCTGTAGGAAGTGGGAGTGGGGGAGGGAGAGGCTGGGAAATTTCTCAGCAGAAATAATTTACCTCAGAAGGAAACTAGCTTTTCTTCTGCTCTAGTCTTAAAGTTTATTTAGGCCTTTAGGAGCTATCTCTGAGACTGAGTTCTTAAAGCACCCAATGGAACTCGGGTTTCAAGTATTAACAAGAAAATAGGGCATTTGAGGTTTGGCCTGGGCTGTTCAGCAGGGGAAAGAGGCAGCAGCTGCTCAGGACACAGGCCAAGTGCCAGGGGCAGCACCTCTGTCCAGCCTTCTAGCTGGGCATTTGGGGAATAAGCTTAAGGCTTTACCATGAAGCTCATTTCCCATGGTCCTGAAGGCCTCTTCCCTTCTCTCTTAATTCTAAGGAAAACCTTAGGCAGAGCCCAAGGCATGGAAGTCAAGTTTCTCCCCTCAGAAATGGTGCATAACTAAACGGTAGCCCAGCAGAGACCTCAGAAGACCTCAAACCCACACCACCTAACCAGAGCCCACACTGTACCCCAGGGCCAAGGTCGACCTGGACGTGTAGGGCTGTAGGATGGGCTTCTTATGAGACCTCTGAGGGGATGTGGGAAGGGACACCAAAGGCATTTTTGTGAAACATACAAACAAGTCCTGTCCACAGAGTGGGCACCTGTGGTCTGCTGACCATTCCTGGGAGGTCAAGAACTTGAGGGCTCAGGAAGTTGAGCAAATGCCAAGGCACACTGTCCCCGGCTGGGCATTAGCTCACCTTGGGCTCACCCCCAAACAAGCCTACCTCCCAAAGTTCAGATGCCAGCAGGTGAGCTCAGGAGCAACCCAACAAGCCCAAGCCAACAAGACTTCACACAGTAGACCAACTTAATGCTGCAACAAAGTGCTGCCCAGCCGAGCCCCTGAGGACACCGAGCTCCCTGAGGGTGGGCGGCGGTCTCTCAGCCCACCAGCCTGAGCTGCCTCTCTCCAGAAGGCAGACTTGGTTCATCCCAGAGTACCCCCTATACCAGACTGGGCAGAAGAGAGTTGAACCCCCCCTCACCTTCTCCCGCCTGGGATAAAGGGACACTGTGGAACAGCAGCCCCCTAAGTGGGGTAGAGAGAGGTGTGAGGCGGGGGTTGGGACTAAAAGACCTTCTCAGGACCTCAAATCTGAAGAGGGTAACACGAGCCCATCTCCCCACTAGCTGCTACGGTCTGGTGTACAATGAACACCTCTCTCTGACACCCTGTCAGCATTCCTGTGACAAGAGAGGCCAACAGGCAACCATATCCTGGTCACCTGTCCTTAGGGGGGTCTGTGTGAGAGCTGTGGCAGGCAAGGTCCTTAAAGAATCACCCTCTTTAATAAACTTGGCAAAAACCACAGAGGCAGCTCCCAGGGTACCTTGGGGCAGTGACTCCCGCCATCTCTGTAGGGGAGCTGCCTCAGCCTCCCAGGCCCCAGCTATGAAACAGACGGTGTGAGGGTGGACAGAAAGCAGGGGGAAAGCACCCAGGCAGCCATTCCTGGGGGTCTTTCCTTGGGAGCTTTCTCTGCTGACTCCCTTCAGCAGGCTCATTTTTACATTCTGAGGGAAGGAGGGAAGGAATTCCAGAGGAGGGTAGTCTCCTTAACTGGCTGCTCTTGTTTCCTGAGGATACTCAGTGTCTCCTGTGTTGGGATGGCTGGAGCCAGCTCTGGGCAGAGGAGGCCAGGAACCCAAAGCCGGCGCCTCACCTGGAGACAGCAGGCTGAGGAGAGGCCAACCGGCCTGCCGCTGCCACTGGAATGATGGCCTAAGTGCAATTAGAGCTCCAGCAGACGGACTGGCCCTCAGGGACCCGTTCCTCCACTCTGTGAGGAGACCAGGGAGCTGCCTGGGCCCTGGAAAGCCCAGGCCTGTCCTTGGACGATGGGGACCTGTCTGAGGAAAAGTCTACTAGAAACAAGAACAATCTCCCTGCTGAAACTCAGGGAAGACAAACAAAACTCAACCTGAAATAAATACAAAGGCATTAAGTGCTTCTTGATAAACTGAGGGTCCTAATCATCCCTCAAAAGGTGGTGACAGGTCCTTTCCCTAGACCTGGTCACCTGCCCTGTGGCCCTTCACAGGAACAGTCAGAGGTCAGAAGACTGGACGGGCCTTCCCGGCCAAGCTGCCATTAGAAAGGATAAGACTCAATCCCTGACTCACCCCTCATTGGCATGCTTCAACCCCCCCCCCCCCAGACATCTTTAGTCTGCAGGGTTAGGAAAGGAGAGGCGGGGACCCCCTCCACCCTGAGGGCAGCGCCCTGCGTTTGCCGTCCCTACGCAGGTAGGGGCCTGTCAGTCGGTCGGTGAGGAGGTAGAAACAGGGGAGGGCTGTGGGGACAGGGCCATTCAATTAATCAGTAGGTCCCCGAGGTCATAGGAGTCGAAGAGGTCACTGATGCCCTCGCCCCCGTCCAGGCCCCACAGGTAGTCGTCCTGGTCCAAGGGTGGGGAGAAGCTGATCAGCGGGGAGCTGCAGGGCAGCGTCGGGGACAGGAACTGGTCCTCTGTCTGCTGCAGAAGCGGGTGTGGCAGCTCCAGCATGCTGTCAGTGGCCTCCAGGGGGACCAGGGGTAGGGGTGGCGGTGGCGGTGGTGGCGGTGGCGGTGGCGGAGGCAGGACCTGCTGGGAAGTCGGCGCTGGCGCTGGAGACAAACAGACAAGGTCACGCCTGGCTCAGGTGCCTGAAGGCTTCTGGTCAGACCCCAGCCCCGGAGCAGCTCCGGCTCTCTGGACGACTGTGCGCTCCTCTCTCAGCTGTGCTCCTTCCCAGGTCACCTCAGCAGGGACCCCAGCCTCGAGCCCCTCTCTCGACCTACCATGCTGGGTGGCCGCCCCAGCGTGGCTCCTGCACAGCTGCCCCCACACATCTCCACGAAGCTGCATCAGCACCCATGTCACCACCAAATGCCTGGTCTTCCCTATACCTGTGTCTCCCCTGTCATTCCCCACCACAGTAAATCAGCTACCACCTGCTCAGGTGTTGCAGTCTAGAGGCCCAAGAATCGACTGTAATCCCATCACCACTTCTGCACTCCACCCCGCGAGTTCCGTCACCTCCACAGCAGATGAACTCTCTGGGCAGTTCATTTCTCTCCAATTCCACTGCCGTGATCCAGACCCCAGCCCCTGCCCCTCTCACCTGCTTCCCTTCAGGAACCTCCTTGCCAGTCACCTCACTTCTACTTTTGCCCCTCAAAATCTGGGCTCAGGTTAAAAGTGACTTCCATAAAATACAAGTTCTGCCCAAAGCTGAGAAGCCCTTCGTGATCTCGCCCCTCCCCTGCCCTCCACCTGTCTCCACAGCTCGCACTCAGCCTCTCCGGCCACACTGGCTAAGATTCTTCAGCACACCCAGGACGATATTTCCACATAGCGGTGAGAAGGTGATTTCCTACAGGGTATGGAGTGGGGTGCTGGAAATCCCCCACCAATATTTCCTGATGCCCAGAATCTTGTCATCTGAGTCATTCCTCAAATCTTAACCACGCATAGCTCTGGTTTGCGCTGATATTTCAGAGGAATGACCAACTTTCACCTGCTGAGTAACCAAGCCAAGGAAGGTGCGAACTCAAACCTCAGTCACTCCTGTGCCTCCAGCTGCATTTAAGCTTATGTGGGAAAGCCAGGAGTGGGGACTCCTGTTCAGATGCTCCCCTGACAGACAAGGGCAGGCGACCTAATGTACCGAGCTTCCTCCCTCTAGAAAGAGCATGATCCCTCCTATCTCCAAGGCTGCTGACGGGATTACTTGACAAGAGCAGGCAGAGAACAGCTGGCCCGCAGGAATCTAGCTGGGTCTGCTGCTGCCAATAAGAACTCCACTGGCTGCGGCCTCGGGGCCTGGCTCTGGCCTCAAGACCCTCAAGTGGCCCTGGGGTATTCAACTCCCGTGGTTACCGCTCCATACACATGAGGAAACTGAGGCTCAAAGAAAGTGAAATGTATTTAAATTGACATTTTTTCATTGAAAAAAGTCCAAATTGATTTGGCACAGTGCAGAGATGTGGGGGTGTTGTGTAAAGAGGGGCAAGGGGAGGACAGAGACCCAGACGCCCGTGACCTGTAGGACCAGCACCTCCATTTTCTCACAAAAGACACGGACCTACTGCTGAGTTGCCGGAAGCAGCAACTGCAACAGCACAGATGAGCGGGTTCGGCCCCAGGCTGGACCTTGCTCCCCACTCCCACCCCCCCACCCCCTTATCAGTCCAGAAGACGAGCGCTCTTTGCACTGCGCGTCTCCCCAGCGCTCTGGCTGGCACTCATGTGCCTAAATCCAAGCCTGACACAGCACATGCCCAGTCTCCTGAACACTTAAAACAGCACGGCTGTGATGTGGCCTCTCCGAAACCCATCAGCTAACGGGAGGGAGTTTCAATATGCCTCTGCTTTAGAGACGTGGGGAAAAGGCTCTGAGGGGTTGTAGTGACTCGCTCAGTCCCCACCCCGAGTCACAGGGTCTCCAGCTTCAACTCCAGTCCCTGCACCTCCATGTGGGTTTACCTCAGATGCTCAGAGGCTGAGATGATGCTTGTTCAAGCCCTTTCCATGACAGAGGAGGGCAACGGAGGCACCAACTGTTAGTGATTCTGGTGAAGCCAAAGCTCAGGCCTCCACTTGCGAGGGGCCCTGGTGTTTGGATCTCAAAATTATCCCACTTTAGGCTAGTACCAGGGATGTGTCTGTACATGTGCGACCTTCCTGCAAACCTCCTGCTTCCTTCAGCAGGGTTAACTCGGAGGCCACAGGCGAAGTGGAGGGGGCAGTGGAGGGGGCAGCCGTGGCACAAGGCTGCCTCACGGTGGGCTCCTGGGCTGCTGCGGCCTCTTCTGAAAGGACTGCCTCAGGGCCTTCCAGGGCCTCCCTCAGGTTCTTGAGCTGTAAATCTGAGGTAAAAACCTCGCCCTACTTTCAGTGTCAGGCCCCCCCAGCCCTGCCCGAGGTCTCAGAGGGCAAGTGAAGTGAAAGTAGTTCTGTGCACACTGATAGTGAGGTGAGAAGGCAGAGTACAGGAGGGAAGTAGGGTGGAGCATGGGTCTGGAGAAGGAGATAGGCACTAGGAGGTGCCCAGAGGACAGATGGCGGGTGCAGGAAAAAGTGCTGGTCCCAGAAGAGAACACCAGAGAGGACGGGAGGCTGGGCTCTCCCCCAGGCTCTGCCAACTACTGGCTGAGTAACCTCAAGGAAGTCACTTGCCCTCTCTGGGCCTCAATTTATTCATATGTAAAAAAATGAAGGAGTTAGATCAGAGGTCAGTCAGTCTCTGTAAAGAGCCAGGTAGTATTTGAGGCTATGCAGGGCACTGTGGTCTCCGTCACACAGCCATCTTGTTTTTCTTCCCACAACTCCTTAAAAATATGAAAACTCGGGCCCTCCCTGGTGGCGCAGCGGGTTAAAGCACAGCACTGAGAGTCTGAAGCCACTTCCGCATGAGTTCGATTCCCGCCTGCCGCCTGCCCCGGAGGAGACCACATGGCGAGCCAGACCTCTCCTGGCCCGCCCGCTGCTTCCCTCAGCAGTGTACTTCGTGGATCTGCCTGTTCTGCTCCCCACTCTGTCTCTGGTGAAGCCTCTCACCGCCCCTGAGCCTCTGGCCTGTACCCCAGTTCTGTATGAATAAATAAATCTTTAAAAAAAAAAAAATATGAAAACTCGGGGCCCTCCCTGGTGGCACAATGGGTTAAACTGCAGCACTATGAAAGCTAGCTGCAGCCACTTCAGCACAAGTTCAATCCCAACCAGGGAGCTGACCCACATGGCGCGGCAGACCTCTCCTGACCCACCCGCTGCTCCCCTCAGTAGTGTACTTCGTCAGTCAGTCTGTTCTGCTCCCCACTCTGTCTCTGGTGAATCCTCTCACCACCCCTGCACCTCTGGCCTGTACACTAGTTCTGTATGCACAAATAAATAAACCTTTTAAAAAACATATGAAAGCCCTCTTGGCTCAGGGACAATAAAAACAACAACAAAATATCAGGCCAGGTTTGATCTCCAGGCAGTAGTTTTGTCAGCCCTTAAGTTCGAGAAATGGAATCCAGCCTGTGCTCTCTAGACCCTCCCACCCAGCCTCTTGCATCAGACCTGTTCTAGCTGTGTTTACCTGAACCCGAGGGTTCTACCTGAGGTAATTCTGCTGCTAGAGAACAAGAAATAGATCATGGCCCATATGGCTTCAAAGGCTCCTGACAGCCTGTCCTGATGCGGGATCCCAGCAAAAGCCAAAACCACCGTCGGGGAAGGCCTCATAGGCTCCCTGGCTCCCAGTTCTATTCCTTCTCGACTGCCACTCTCCCTGGGAGACCATCCTGCCTCTTGGCTCCCCTGTGACAGCCTCCCACTCTTTCCTGCCTGGCACAGCCTGCTTTCAGCTGGACCACACCCCTTCATGCTGCGAGCGAGCCCCTCGCCAGGCGCCCCTTCCTTGATTTATTCTGTGCTCTCGTGGAGAGACCCCAGGGCGAGGAGGACGGAGCCCAAAGTTCAAGACCCTGCTCTGTTGTCTCCTGTTTGGGAGACTTTGGGCAAGTCACCTGACCTTTCTGCCTCAGTTTACTGATCTCTAACTGTGAATTAAAAACCTACCTTAACTGCTATGAAGAGTAAGGAACCAACGGAAGCAGCTGGTACACAGCTGTGGTTCAAAACACCTATAATTATGATCTCCCAAGGATGTACTGCGCCTCCCTCAAAAACCCTATGATTTCCGTTTGCTGTGGGCTTCTTAAAATTATTATAATAGTTTACCTTGACATCACTTTGTGCCTTTTTCCATCTCAGTGCCATCCCCATGGGCTTCCACCACCAACTCACCTGTGTGCCATCACCATAGTCTCGTGCACTTCCCCCGGCCCCTCATTTCTGATCCCATAACCACTCCACCCTCTTAAAATGTCTCTGGTATATAGTTGTTCATTTCTATTGTTTTCTACCATGGGCTTTTGGAGCCAGGAGCTTTGCCGCCAGTAGTTGTCACTCACTAGAGGCTGTGGCAGGCAGGGTGGTAATAAAACATAAGTTACTGCCAAGCTCTGTTCTAAGTACCTTGCCTGAATGCACACATTTAATACTCACAACAACCTAGGAAGTAAATGCTGCTTACTGCCCAAGTCAGAGATGAGGCGACCAAGGCAGAGAGGTCAAGTAGCCCACCCACAGCTGGTGGGTAAATGGAAGAGCGGCACTCAAACTTAGGCTCCCTCTGCTCTGGAGCAGCACTGGCTGTGCCAGGAATACAAGATGCACGCGTACTTTATCAAGGGGGAAGTGCAATGCACACTTGTGGGGGACTACGGGAGCCCCCTGCTACTGAGAAGGTGGGTGCCCAGCAAATGCTGATGTGTAGAAGAGAACTCTCCCGCACCTGTCCACCTGGGCAGAGGGCCCTACCTGGGGATGCCGTGGGTTCCGGGATGCCAGAGTTGATGCTGCTGCTGGGCTGGGTGCAGTCAGGGCTGGGGCTGAGGGTGGAAGTAGGGGGGAGGGGCTCCTTGGCAGGACTGTCTGGCTCCTGTACTTCCTCCGGGCACAGGTAAACTTCGATAGGCCCCTGGGTGCTCTTCAGGTATATCTGCAGGTTCTCCTGGAGGAGGAAGAGAAACTGGGTCATGGCTCTGGGCAGCTGGACACTTACTGTACTGGGACAGACACCTGTTTCCTACCGTGTCTGCAATCAAGCCCCAGAGCTGGGTTTGGAGACAGCCTCATCTGGCCCGTGGAGGGCACCTGCAGGCTCTGCCCTCTGGCCCCAGAACCTTCTTTTAGGGAAAACGCTTTGATTTTCCCTTGGGAAATCACTCCTCTCCCATGCTCAGGTCATGTTCAAGTCAGGCAGCCAGCGTCCTTCCCCAAGTCCCAGTGTGAGTGTGGGGTACAGGCTAGGAGGTCAGAGGGCAGCAAAGGTTCATGGAGGCAAGTGACTCAAGCGGGTCTGACCAATGTCAGGCTGGGACTTGTGGGAAATGGAACCTCCATGCCCATAGGGGTGGTGAGCTCATAGCTTCAAGGTTATCGCTGCCACCACAGAGGGGACCCCAGTGGGGAATGGAGTCAGCAAAGAGCAAGCAGAGTGCAATGGGTGCAGAGGCAGGCTGAAGCCACTGAGGGGGGCCCCTGCATCCAGAGTCTAGCCTGCTCTCTCCAAATCTTCCCCAGGGCCTGTCACTTCAAGTTTGTTGGACTTGACTTTCTGCTACTTATAATAAGGGTCCTGGCTCTTGGCCTCCCATCCCTGCTCTTCTCTACCACATAACCTGCAGCCGAAGCCACCAGAAGCTACAGAATTCAGACCCCCATGCCATGCTCCTGCGGCGGCTTCCGCCTGCCCTCTGCCCACTGGGTCTTTCAGACCCAGCTCAGCTGTGACCACCTGCGGGCTTTTCTAACTGCGTCTTTCTCTGGCCCTCCAGCACATCTGCAGTCCATGAGGGCGACCCTGCTTGCTTGATTCTGCGCTCCTCTAAGGTGGAGGGGAAAGCGTGGTTTATATGGAAGGGTTACTGTGCGCACTGACGGTGCTGTGTGTGCACACGTGCAGTAACGTATGAGCCCGAGGAACGCAGAAAGCAGCTGAGATTTTCTCCATCTAGAACCTGATGCCTGTTGCCCGTTTAGCGTCCCATACTCCTGCCCATCTTAGAGACCACAAACTGATCAAGGGCCCAGAATCGACTGAGCTGGGCTGGGCAGTGCCAGGACAGAGGCTGCAGAGCTTCCCCAAAGCCCCCTAAATCTGTCGTCCCCTAGACGCTCCCCTCTCACCTCACTCCTGTCAGGCACTTCCAGTCTTGTCTGCGGAGGGGCCTTGACAGCGATCACTGTCTGGTCCTTAAAGTTGCCGATTGCCCGGATGTCCTGGTAAGTCACGTAGGCCAGCGTAGAGGCAAGCGAGTCAAGGGAAGTGACTGGTCAGAACTCAAGGGCCCAGCATGCCAGCAGGGGTCTGAGATGCCCATCTAGACCCTCTGGACACCTCTTTTGCAGTCTTCAAACAGTTCAGAAATAACAGCTGTACCCCATCTTCAAATTAGACAGTAACTGGAATCTCTTTAAAAAATGAATAAGTATATACACTATTAAAAAGGAAATGCTGCCTTGGATCAGCATTTGCTATGAAAGCTTCATCTCTCCAACTGGATCATTAGCTCTGGGAAGGCAGGAAGACAGGTCTCTTAGCTATGTCTTCCAATACTTACCATTCTTCCAAATACAAGGTCAAATCCAAAACCTATAAGGTCAAACCATTTGGGGAAAATACAGGAGAAGTTTGAGCAAGGTGTGTGCTCTTTGGTGTCACAATTTCAAGTCCACAATTGGAAAGAGGGAAATTAAACAATCTGGGGAAACATTCTATGCACAAAGATTGCGCCAACACAATGCTGCTTTATAAAAGCAGAAAACTGGAATCTAAATCTCCACTCTTGGTCGCATGAGCAAACCAGAGAACGAGAGGGACGAGCTTCCGAGCCAGCACCGGCAAGAACAGACACAGAGCCAGAACCGGACACTGGTGGTCTGGCAGAGCAGTCCAGTGCTTCCAGATCGCTCTGGACTTTTCTATGACACGGACCCTTCTGTGGTCCGGCACTGCCGCTGAGGCAGACGGGAAGGACTGGTCTACAGAGGAGCATCTTCAGAGAAAAAGCAGTAAGTCGTTGTTCCTTCCATTCACTGACACTCTGTGCCGCTCCCCACCTTTGCCTCTGTCCCCCGAGGCAAGACAGGTCCCTCTTCCTCCTCAGCTGACTCAACAAGCCCTTGATGACACTTGACATCCACTTAATGAACAGTAAATAAAAACATGTCACCATCAACTTTCGTGTTGTCAGGAAGGCTTGCTATTACTAGAGCAGGCGATTTATGAGTCAGAAGTTACACTTTTTGACTGTGTGGGAGATGGGGAGTTGGTGCCCCCAACTCCTGGGTTGTTCAAGTTTCACTGAATTTGTTTTATTCCTTTTTTTTCTTAAACATTTTATTTATTTTTGTATAGAAGAACTGGGATGTAGTCTTTGTAACAGAGTGGGGAGCAGAACGGGCAGATCTACTGAAACACACTGCTGAGGGAGCAGCAGGAGAGACAGGAGAGGTCTGCCGCGCCTGTGGGTCAGCTCCCTGGCCATGATGGTACTCGGGCCATTGTGGTGATGGGGTGATGGTGCTGAGACTTAACCCGTGGGCCACCAGGCAGGCCCTGAACTTCTCTTACTTTTCTAATGAGAAAGTAACTTCAACAGACTCATGAAAAGGAAGAGCCGTGCCAGCCAGACTCCGGGTGGGCATGAGCATTCAGCACCCTCACCCACTCCCCTGCCAGAGAGGATATTTCTTGTTGGCCTTGTCCTCGGTCAGGTGTTTGAAGTTCACAGAACAGCTCTGAATGAGCTGGTCCAGGGCCTGCTCCATGCTCATCAGTTCCTTCAGCTCCTGCCCCAGCTGCTGCTGCTTCCCAGGCCGGGTGGGGTCTTCAAATATTCCCCTGCCCCTGAGGACAGAGCAACCCCCACCGGATCAGCCTCAGTCATATCCAGGACGCCCCCTCCCCCCACAGGGCTGCCTCACTGGGCTGCTCGGGTGACATGGGTACAACTCTAGGTCACTGACATGGTTGATGTGGCGGGCTCTCAACTCTGTCCATCCTCTGCCACCATCGCCCCCAAATGACTGGGAGCTAGAGTGACCTCAGTCTCGACGGCCCCACCTGGGGCCTCCTAGGTTTCATGCCAGGGGTTGCAGTTCTGACCTCTGAGAACTTGGAGCGGGAGGAAAAGAGCCCAAGTGCTTGTCTGCTGGAGCTGAGAGGAGTCCGCGTTACTGTGCTCAGCAACAGTCCTACACTAGAAGAGGGGAATCTACGGTCCCTGACTCGAAAGAATCTGGGGGCCTCGTAAACCTTTACACATCCTGAAATCATTCTCCACCTGTCCCATCCTGTTTGCCCAATATCCCTCCAGAGCGCACACCTGCTCCCCCGCAAATACAATGACTTGGCCCCTTGAATGTGAACCCCTTGGATGTTGCTCTCAGCCCCACTTGACACTCACACCCACTGGATGTCGCCCCTGTGTCTGCCCACAGTGCACAGCACGAGCACCCACTGGTGCCCTCGTGCCAGTCCAGCCACTCACACCCACTGGATGTTGTTCTTGGCCTTCTTGCGGATGAGCTGGATGCCCTCCAGCACATTGGTGATGTCATAGATACGTCGCTTCTGCACATCCAGCACCTCAGCTGCCCAGTTCAGGTCCAGGACCCCATCCTTGGACTCACTCAGGAGGTAAATGAACTTCTTGGTGAGCAGCCCCAGCGACGTGTCATATCGAGTCTTCTCCCCAGGGGACTTGGGTGCTGAGGGGGAGAAGGGGCCAGTCACCACTCAGGGAGAACCTTCTCCCCTTCCTGGGACCCATTAAGTACCACCCTTCCCAAGAGCACCCACTTTCCAGTTTACAGAACACTGGCCCGGGGGGGAGGGTCACCCGATGGTGGACACTACCACTATTGTCCTAACAGGGAACCCACCACCTAGAGAGGGAAAGTGACTTGCTTTAGGGCTGGAAACCAAGTGTCCTAACTTCTGGTTCAGGGCCCTTCCCCCCACAACTCGGGCAGTCATAGCTACCACCATCACCAGCAATGCTTAGTGGAGGTCACTGTTCTAAATACTTTCCATGTATAATACATCTAATTCTTATACCACCCTGGAAGTTGCTGTACAGCCACCCCCATTTTTCACATGAGAATACTGAGGCGCAGATGAGTCCAGTAACTTGCTCAGCACACTCAGAAAGTGCCAAAGCAGGCATTTAAGTCCAGGCAGTCTGGCTCCAAAGTCTTCCTTCCAAACCATTACCCAATCTGGCCAGTTATGTCAGGACTTTGGAATTGGGGTAAGAAAGGAATGACAAGCTTGGATTCAAGAACACATTTAGAGACTTGCTTTTTCTTTCCACATAGAGCCCAATGAGTTTCTGAGGAAATCAGTCCCATAGTATCAAATGGGGCAGGTTTATGAAAAACATCTTTCTTAATGAGGTTGATGTTACAAGACCACATCTCAGCGGCATCTTAAACCACAGAGGACTTTTGCAATTAAGTGACTTGCAAATCATAGAGCAAGTTAGTTCTGGAAACTGAATTTTACTGGGCCTCAGATTCCTCTAGAATAGGACTTTAGAACCCCAAAGTACAGATGGCAAACATTTGGCACAAAGACTACTTTGTAAGTTTTGCCTCCATTGCAGAATCACTCATTGGCCACCCAGGCTCCAGGCAGCCTGTACCAATCAATGGGAGAAGAATGTTCCTTGCTGTTCTTGATGAGGTTGGGCCTTGTTCTATAGATGAGACAACTGAAGTTCACAGAAGAGTGACCAGTCCTCCGGGGAGCCCCCCATCACATGACTTTCTCATTAGGTCTCTGACCCCCCAATTAGCATTCCTCGTAATGCACAGTTCCTGCTCTCCCGGAATATTAACTGGAAATATCAAGAGGCAGAAATTCCCTCCAAGTCAGTTTTCGAAAGGCACTATGGCACTGATGTGACATAGTGTAAGCCTCACCACCTTTCAAGCACTGCTTTACATCTGTCTCCAAGCAGGAAAAAGGCCCTGCTTAGTCCCTGCTCCGCTCTAAGCTGATTCTCTCTCTGTTAGAATATTAGACCAGCTCAGACTCCAGATAAAATGGTCAGCTCCCACATAAAACGGAGCCAATCACATTTAGGCCAGGGAAGCAGCGTGTAGTCTAGTTATGCAGTGCCAGACACAGGTACCTGGGTTCAACCCTGGCTCCTCTGACTAGCTGTGTGACCTTCAGCAAGTCACTTAAGTTTTGAGTTTCAAGTTACCTCATGGATACAAGGGGGATAATCTACCTGCCTGGCAGCATCGAGGGAGAACCCACAGGAAGTTGTTTGGTAAACCGGAAAGTGTGCTAAATATTACTTCTGATGATTTGGCCAGGGCTGCCGCCCTGTGCGCCCCGCCCCCATCACTGCCCACCCCAACTCAGTCCTGAGCTGTCCCATCAGCATAGCAGCATAGCTTACTTTTGGGGCTAGGGAGGCCATCAACCCTAGTGCACTTCCCCTTGGGGGTCCGGAATTCAGGGATTGCAGGTCTCCCGATCCCCTCCAGGTCTAGCTTCCTTTTGGCCTTGGAGAGAGAGGGGAGACAAAGGCAACATTTGAAAATCAGTTCTCCTTTAGCTTCTCCTTGACCTGCAGCCACAACCAGCAGCCACCTGCTGTGCCTCAGTTTACCACCTGTCCTGGTGAAGCATCATTGTACTTGGTAAGGAAATATCAATGAGCTGAAAACTGAGCTATCAAAGGCAGGAAGCCCAGTTTCCTGATGGGCGCGCAGCACACTCCTCTGAGGTACAGGCACTTGAGACCTCACCAAAGAGGCTCAGAGCTGGGTTCTTCAAAAACAGCCCCAAGGTCACTGTCCCACACCGCCAACCCAGAAGATGATGCAGGGAGGAAGGAGTGGGTGGGGCCTAAACCACATTAGGCTGGGGGAGCTCCCCCAGACCCCCACCTTGCAGAAGCAGCTGGCTGAGCCAGACTCGGTCCCCATCACAGCCCCACAGCTGGCCCTTATCAGGGTGGGGCCGGGCATCCGCCCAGGCCCAGGGGACTTCCTGGCTCAGTGCCACACCCCAGGGAGGTGCCCACATCGGGAAGCAGTGCAAACACCCCCACCCCCATATTTGGTCTGCAACTCAAGGGCCTTGGGACCTCCTGAATAGACTCCATTTGCCACTCATTCTTTGCCGAAAGGGGGCAGACAATGAATCCCTCCCCAGTGTCTTAAGGACAAGCAGCTGAGGTTCCCCCCTCCCCGCCCTTCCCCCTTTCTTGTTCCCGCCAAGCTTGGGAAACACCTGCTGGGGAAATCAAACCACAGACCCATCTGCTCCTCTCCACCCCTCCTCCAACAGGCCTCAATTAGACTCAGAAGCTGCACTGGCCCGGAAAGGGCCTCTGTCCTGTTAGTGCTGGAAAGAAAGGGCAGGGCAAGGGCGCTGGGGCACCGGTCAGAGGCCTGGGCTTCACCTCCCATCTTTTTCAAGGGCTCACCATGACCGTGGGAAATGCAGTTTCCTCTTCTGTGTGAGGCTACTGTACGGACTCAGCGAGAATATCCCTGTAAGTGCTCAGACTGTAGCTGAGCACACAGTAGGTGTTCAGGAAATTCAGAGCCCTTCCCCAAAATCCAATCTTAATCTCTCCTTTGATACATCCTCCTGGGGCCCACGGAACCCAATTCCTTCCCCTCCCTCTCCTACAGGCCCCCCAGACACTTGTACCGCAGCAGGGACAGAGAGGCCTGTTTTAACTTTCGGTGGTGAGGTCATGCTTGGCGGGGCTGAGACTTCTAACTGCTGCTAAGCACAGCTGGGCTGACAGGTGTGGGAAGTGGTGGCAGCTCTTCCTGCTGTCCGCTCCCCCCACTTTTGCCTCCTCCAGGAAGCTTTCCTGGATTGCTTTGAAGAGTCCTGCTCCTTGATTTGAGGAATATGGATGGGATGCTTCTCTCATTCATGCCAACACAGACCAAGACATGACCCAAACACCTCCCTGCTCCTTCCTCTTAACATCTCACTGGAATATTCCTTTTCTGAGCTCCCAACTGGTGATAGGAAAGATTCTAGGGCAATGACCTGGATTAGCCCCATCTTGTCTCTAGAGGAAGACCCCTTTGATGAACCTTCCCACCACAAGTCCCCATTTTACAGTCAATGTTAACAAGACTTGGTGAGCAAGACCTTTATCAATCCCAATCAAGGCTTCCATCCTAAAGTCCTCCACCCACCTCTCAGAAGGAAGCCCAAGGATGAGAAGGGAAGATCAGGTTGAGTTCTGTCCGAGGCAGGGGTGGGGGGCAGCCCAGGCTCCCCAACCCCACCCACTCCCCCAAGCTCACAGGAGCGGCCTCTGCTGAGTTCACAACAGGAAGAACCTCCTGCGGAGTGCAGAGAAGGTTGGGAGAACCCTCACAGCATCCCTGCTGGGCCTATCCTGTGCTCACTGGCCTCCCACACCAGAACTAGCAATTCTCTTGGCAGACATGATGTGCAGGCTCAGAGTTTAAGCCATGCGCCCAGAGTCACACAGTAAGGACACAGAGGAGCTTAAACTCAGGTCTAACCTCCAAAGTCATGTACCAGGCGGCCTCAGCCCCATTCTACACTCACCCTCCCAGAATGCTGCAATTTCTGCCCAGGTCTGGCTATGCCAGTGCCCCGTGGCCTTCACACACACAGATACATGCACACCCTGCCCGCTCCCTGCTCTTCTCTCCTTACCCTTATCCTGTGCCCTCAAGTTATCCGCCTCCAACGGCACCTCCCTGAGCCCTGTGGGCACTCCCCAGCGAGAAGCCAGCCTCGAAGAGGCCTGAGTGTCGAGCACCCAAGTGGAAGAAGACACATTCCCAACGCTGCCCTGGAGTCAGGCCCTCTCCACCTCCCCAGATCCTACCTAGTCACCCCCACTCCTTCTTAGCTGGTGAGCCCACCAAGTCTGTGGATCTCTTGAGCTCCACCTGCAAGTGGATGTAAATAATGTACCCACTTCTGCCGGGGATCCAATCAGAGAGCTCGGGGTGCCTGACCCAGGTGCCAGCGCCTGGTGGGAGATGCTAACACTGCCCACAGCATGGGAAACGTTCGGGGAAAGCTGAAAGGCAGAGAAGCACCAGAGCAAACGTCTGGACCCACACCGAGCTTGCTCTACCCTGGACCTCCCGATGCAGCCCCTCCAGCTATTTCTTAAAGGCCTGGCTAGGGTTCCCAGACACCCCAAGGAAGAGCAAACTCCTTCAAGTCACCCCAGTAGTGAGGGGGGCAGAGCCCACCTGCACTAGGGCAGTGAGGGAGGAACCAGGGCTCTGAGAGGTGACTCACCAAGGCCACACAGGGGAGGGAGCCAGTGCCTCCTGGCCCCATGCCCCAGTTTAAGACGGCGTAGGGGGGACGCGTGAAAGGAGGGGAGAGCCTCACAGGTCCAGCTCTGCTGCCCAGGAGTCATGGCCTTGCTGCCTTGACCTCTGGGTCTGCATTTCTTCATCTGACCTGCCTTGCTGGTATGTTTGTTAAAATATTCATATTCTTTCTTGGTTCTCGGAGGAAATTTGGACAAACCACAGGGAAAGGAGAACTGTCCAGAACCCCCCACCCATGACAGGTCCCTGCAGGGATGAAACAGAAGCACCCAACATTCTTAGCAAGCAGAGGCTCCACAAAGGAGCCGGCCAAGTCTTCCAGAAGGTGGTGGAAAGAGACCAGGAGGCCTGGGTACTGGCCTCGCTCTGCCATGGGACCTGGTTGCCGTTCCTGGCCTGTGCCTGAGATCCCTTTAAACAGCAGCTCCCCAACAAATCCTCTCACCCTGCACTTTGCAGCCAGGCCACAAGCCAGGGCCCACACCCAGGGTTGGGTTTGGAGCTGCTCCAGGTCACACCCTGGCAAAATGAGTAAGCAGGGGCGAAGGCCTGCGCACGGGACTGAGGGGCATGGGGCATCTGGAGAGGGACGGGAGAGGTGGCCCTGGCCCTCCCTGGACTTTAGGGTAGTCTGAGCATCTTGACCAAGATAACAATGAGAAGAGTGCCAAGCAGTGCCAGGCACATGAGTGAAGTCCCGCAGGGAGAAGCATTCTTGCTGTGACCACCACACCCCTCCAGGAGGGCAGGACAGACAGAAGCACCCAGGCCCCTCTGGGGGGAGCGGAGCGGGGGAGCTGTTCAAAAGCGCAGCTGCTACTGAAACTCTGCCTGGGTACCTGGAAGCAGCTGGCCAGAGAGACCGGGTCTACCATTGAGGCTCTTCTCTCAGGGCACCTACCTCCCTAGCCACCTGCCTTAGGGTCCTTCTAGAGGTCCCACTTGTCTGAGACTCTTTCCCCCATGGAGCTGCTAGTGCTGTCTTCACAGAGTACACACATTTCTTTTGTTTTGGCTGTAAAATGCTAAACACAGATAGATAGCCAGGCCAGTTATCCTGGCCTGCTTGACCTGGAGGATGGAAAGAGTACTCCCTCTGCCTGTTGGCTGGAAATAATATACAGGGAATTATAAAGGGAAGGTTAAAAGCTTGAGCAGAACTAAAGCATAATTCCAGGAGTGGGGAGATGGCTGGGGGGATGTGCCAGCTGACTACTCAGATGCTTATCAGCAGTGGGGTGGTCTTACCCCTTTACCTGAATTTACTCACAACTAAACAGACACATGCCTGTCTCTCCTCCCTGCAGCCTGCTTCCAGCAACAGCACTGGAGTTTAAAGTCAGCCAAGATGGGTCAGTCCCACAGCTACCCCATGCAGGCACACACTTTCAAGAAAGGGAAACTGAAGCCCAGACTGGGGCCAAGACTTATTTAAGAACACCGTGAATGAATGGCGGCTCAGACCAGAATCCAGGCCCCACCCCATACACCCTGGGCTTTTCCCATTGCACCCCCACCTGATGGTTGTTTCCGTTCTCATGGGCTCCAAGAATTCCACTCCTACAAACACATGTGGTGGCATGGTGCCACCACACCGAGGGCTCTCCCTGGCTGCCAACCTGGGGGCTTGAGGAGGGAAGTCAATCTGAGCAGGAACCCCAGGGGCTGCCCCCAACTTGCACCTGCTACTGGCTGGCTGATCCTGGGGAAGATCTCCAGCAAACAATTGGGAAGGAGTTGGCTGGTGGGAAAAATTTGGAGTCTGTCTACCCAAGCCAAACTATACCTAAGAGACCTCTCACCCCACCCCACCCCTCATCCCTCTTTTACAGTGTTCACTGTATCCCTAGGCCAAGCCCTGTGTCTCGACAACAGCAGGTGCCAGTACAAGTTTGTTGGCCAAACATTGAATGAATGAATGAACGGTGGCAAAGTTGGTTCTGTGGACTTCCCAGGACACAAGGAGTCCTGGGGATAGTGGCTTAGGTCTCCACACTCCCAGCACAGTGCCCACTCCAATCCACTCCAGTGGGTGCGGTTACCTCATCCTAAATGGGAAAATTAAGGGCTCTTCTGCGCAGGTACTGGGGAAAATGGAATGTTCTGGAAGTGAAAGCTCATCATCCAAAACTCGACCTGTTTCACTCAAACTGGGGTTCCAGGGTCCCCTCCCTTCTTCCCCACACCCCGCAAAGCACAGGGGGAAGAGGCGAGTGGGGTCCCCAGATTACCGGCAGCCGGCCGGCCGGCGCGCACCGCACAGCTTGGCCATCCGGTCCGTGGGGGGTGGCGTCGAGGCAGGTGCCGGGCGCCGCGGCGGGTGGCACAGTCTGCGGGTACAGCGGGTTGTAGTAGGCGGTGGCGGTCTGGCGGAGCTGTGGGCTGCTGAGACCGGGCGGCCACACTTCGGTGGAGCTCACCGCGGCCAGCCCCTTCGGGAGCGGCCCGGCCGCGGGAGCCAGGGCGGCGGGCCCTCGAAGCATGGCGAGTGCAGCGCCCCCTTCCCACCGAGCCTGGCGCTCCCGCGGGCACCTGCGGGCTCCGAGCCCGCGGCGGCTCACTCGGCCCGCGGCATGGCGTGGAGGCCGGGGAAGCCGCCAATGAACGCCTGCGGGGCAGGGTCGGACCCTCCCCTCCTGGCCGGCTGCCGAGCCGAGCAGCGCTTGGAGATCGCCGCTTGGAGATCGCCGGCGGCCACGGCGGCAGCACGGCCAGGGGCTGCCCCGCCCTGAGGGCGGCCGCGAGCCGGAGGGCCCCGCGCGCCCCCAAAGGCCTCGGCGCCGGGGGTCCGGCCTGCTCCCGGGGTGGGGTTTCTGCGGTGCACTCCGGTGAGGCGGAGACGCGACGCGCCGGGTCAGAGGAGGGGAGCGGACTGCACCGACTCCCTCTCACCTCACTCTCTAGTCCCCGAGTCTTTCTCAGCCTCTTTTTTCCTTCTTTTTTTTTTTAGCGCCAAACTGCGTGCCGCGAAATTCAGATCTCCCGCGGAAAATGCCGCGCTCTGATTGGACGCTGAAACTTGCCCAGGCTCCACCCCCCGGAAGGGAGCTGTCCTTCTCGCCAGCTACGGCGACGTTTGCGCTCCTGCTTAAAGGGGCCGCTGCGCTCTTGTTGCCGAGAGTGCACTGGCGCCAGCTGCCGCCAGCACGGCGGTTCCTGTGCGGCAGAGACAGGACACAGCCAGCGCAGCGCCTCGCGCGCTGATTCCCGGGCTGCACCGGGAAACGTTGACACGGAGTCCTCACGCGACGCCCAGACCATACGCCTTGGGTTAATATGATGCATTTATATCCAACACTCCCCCCCCCCTTCAAATAAGAGCCTGTTGTCATTCCTGACCCGGAGGGGCAGTGAGGGTGGTGAGCCTTACAGCCCAGTGCCCATACCCGTGCACAGGGAATACCAACCTCTCGTGAGCACCTGAAGTATGCCACACACCCTTTTCGCTCATTACACGTCTTGCTTTACTTGATTTAATTCAACACGCCTGGGAAGGGGGATGACGGGCTAGGTAACCCAGGCAGACGCGCTGATTTGAGAACTGGCTTCCCCTCAGCTCAGCTCCTGAGTCCCTGCTTGCTCCAATACAAGGCTCTTGCCTCACTCTCCCTGGCTGTGCCCTGCTCCTTGCAGGCTCTGCGGGTCCAGCGTGGAGAGCCCTGTCTGGTGTTCCCCAGGGCCCATCACTTAAATATTCGAGCATCATCCAGGTTTCGCCTGGACAATCCTGGGCACAAGAGCCTCCCTCCCTGATGGAAAACCTTCCTTGCTGTCGAGCCTCCATTTACAGTCGGCACCTCGCCCGTTTAGGGAGGCAGGGCTGTGGCCTCTGCTACAGCCTGGTGCCAGGCAGAGCTGCAGGAGTCTGCTGCTGAATTCCAGGTCTGTGGAAACCTGCCTGGTGTTTTGCGATGTTCATGCAAGTCTGAACCGGATGCTCAAAGCCGTGCGGAGGTAGTCCTCAGTGTAATCCCTCAGACCCTGAGGATGAGGTGGGAATAGTGCATGGTGATTAAGAACCCCATGCAGACAGACCTATATTCAAACCCAGGCCCTGACACTTTTATTAGCTGTGTGATTCCACACAAGGTTTTTAAACTCTCTGAACCTGTTTTGTCCTCTCTAATAACACCCACCTGCTCGTATTGTGGAGCAATCTCACGGGGTGACACATGCAAAACTCAGCACAGAGCTTGGTTCCTCAGGAATATCAAGAAATGCCAGTAGATCTCTGGCTCTCTCTCCAGAATACAGACCCTTTCACTCCAGTGAACGTGTTTCATTGGCCCAAGTTAAACCTCACCTCCTCCGGGAAACCCTCCTGGCCTGTGTCTCCTCTCCCAGTAGAGTGCCTCTTGCCCTCTTTGGACTTGAATAATGTTCTGCCTCAATAAACAAGGCTTTGTTTTCATGCCACATTCACTGCCCTCAAGGAGCCACATGGTAGCCCTCTGAATGCCCCTTAGCATCTAGGGTCTGGTTTAGCATGCAGATGGTGGGTAATAAATATATAATTATATGGTTCATTCATCTTCCCAGAGGGGAGAGGATCTGAAGTCAGGAACTCAGATGTCCCATTTCAAGCCCCACTCTCACTTCCTAGTGGGCTGGCCCCTCCACCTTGCCAAATGTCACACAGGGTCATGCTTCCATGGGGCCTGCTTCACAGGACATCAGCCCCATTCCTGCAATGACGGGAGTGGCTACTACTTCTGAGAACCTACTGTGTGCCAGGCTCAACTTGGGCATCTCCTCTGACCCCACCCACAACACGCCTCTCAGACCTGCCCTATTATTAGCCCCATTTTACAGATGAAGGAACCTGGATGGAATTGTGGCAGAACAGCTTTGGGGGAGGAGCAGAGCCCCAGGGCCAGGAAGAGAAATGGGGGTGGCAGGGTGGGGCTGAGACCAGAGAAGGAAGCCAGCAGGGGCCTGAGCCAGCTCTCTGCGGCTCAGTTTCGGGCAGCTGGGCTGGCTTTAGAGTTTCGCTGCCTGGGAACAGACTAACTCCTGGGAGCCCTGTGGGGCACAGCTCTGCCCTCCCTCTCCCTGAACTGGAGTTCCCACCCCATGGATGCCAGGCCTTGTGCCCTTACGTCCCCGCACCTCTCTGGGCCTTGGTCTCCTCATCTTCGAAATGGGGACAGCAAAGTGACCTTTCCATTTATGTAAGGCGTTGGCTATAAAATCCTGGGGAAAGGAGCTGTAAGATACAGTTACTCTGTGTGAGCTAATGTTTGTGAGGTGGGCTTCTCCCATGAAGCCACCTGCACTTGTCCACTCCTGACCACCATTCTGCCACTTCCATGGCTCTGCTTATCTGGGTCCTCCCCTCCACCGCCCTGTGCCTGAATCCAACCAGTATTTCAAAGCCCAACTCCAACGGCCCAGTGGCAGGAACAGACAGAGTTTGGACATCCGACTCCTTGCTGCACCCAGGCTTTATTTCCATCTGGTGTCCCTTCCCCGGGAGTGCCAGGCCCTCCCAATGATGATGATGATGACGATGATGATGATGACAATAAGAGCTTTTCCCCAGGGGCCTCCTGGTGGCCTAAGAGTTAAGTCTCAGCGCTATCACTGAGAGGGCTCAAGTTCCATCCCCAGCCCTCTCAGGTGACCCACATGGCGCAGCAGACCTCTGCTGTCTCACCTTTCTCCTTGTTCCCCTCAGCAGTGTATCTCAGTCAATCTGGCTGTTCTGCTCCCCACTCTGTCTCGGGTGAATCCTCTCACCGCCTGCACCTCTGGCCTGTGTCCCAGTTCTACACACAAAGAGCTCATTTTCCCCAGGGCCTTTACATCATTATATTGAAACATCCAGACTACCCCACATCATGGTCTGGTCTGGCCAGGGGGAAAGACACAAACAAGTAAACGGAGGGCATGAGGGCTGGTTAAGGATGAAAGCAGCATCTGGATTCAGAGCTGTTTTTCCTCAATGAACTCAGCCTCACAACCCAGTATGAGGAGGGGATGTTCTGTCAACAAGCCGGAGGTGCCAGTGCTGCAGACACGGGAGTGAGGGGTGGAAAGAGTGGGCCCCACAGCTAGAGGACCTAGATGGGGACACTGAGGCCAGCAGACATTAAGCGACTTGCCTGATGCTCACAGCTGTTCCTCAGACCCTGCAGGCCTGGAAAGCCCTCGAAGTGAACTTCCTTTCAGCTACTACAGCTCACCCCTGGCATGGCTTGTCCTGAAAATGACCCAGATCCCCTCTCCCCAAAGTTATATTTATCAAAATACAAAGTGCCTGACCAAAGGGGCCCCCTATTCTGGGGCTCCCAGTGCATTAACTCTTAACATGAATCTGAAATCAGAGAGAAACTTGGAGCTGCATGAAAGATGGGAGAAAAAGCTCAGCACATCTGCTCTGTGCTGTTCTGTGTAGTCATTTCCAACGACTCTCTAATCAGCTCATTGGAAAGGATAAATTACTATTTTTTTAAAAGATTTATTTATTTGTACAGGGTACAGGCCAGAGGCACAGGGGCGGCGGGAGGCTTCACCAGAGTGGGGAGCAGAACAGGCAGATCGACGAAGTACACTGCTGAGGGGAGCAGCGGGCAGGTCAGGAGAGGTCTGCCACGCCAT